CGGCGCGGGGCTCTGGGGAGTCAGTGCCATCCCTCAGCATCGGGGACCTCCGCAGCCCTTTCCAAGAGGACAACTATAAACGTTCCCACCAGGATGTTGGGTAGCCTGAACCGGGGCAACCGCTCTACATCACGGGGCACGAAGTCCTTTCTTTCTTTGAAGCCTCTCCACTGTTTTCTCCACCCAGGTCATCTCTGGGTTTGCGCAGACCTTGGTCCCGTTCCTGGTCTCAAACCTGCCAAGATGAAAGGTGAAGCTTGGTGAGAAACCTCACTCATGTCCATGCCATCCTCCCTTCCCTGCACTCCTTCTCCTTTCCCTTTGGCCCCGCACGCTGCTCCCGGGTACTTGGTGTCCGAGAAGCAGCTCGTCCTGCAGCCCGATGCCTCTTTGTGCAGCACCTTCAGGAGCAGCGATGGACTTGTGTCCTTAACTCTGCCCTATAGAAGTGGCCGGACAGTCACGTCTTCCCCTCTTCATGCTGGAAGACAGCCACCTGTGGAGGCCACGTAGACCTGGCCCGGTCCTGTCCCCAGGTGGGATGGGTGAACTGAACCCACGGTGGTCTAGGAGACAGCACAGAGGTGGGGAAATAATTACCAGAACTCACACAATTGCTGGGGAAAAACAGTCCTTGGGAGTCATGTAGAAACCCTTCAGGTTGGACAGCCGGAGAGGGGCTTTTACGTAACGGAAGCAGCACTCGGACGGTGCGTAAGGGCCTGGAGAAGAGAGAGAGAAGGTGAACGCTGGCTTTGGAAAGCAGTCTTTAAGACCTTCCCCCCTGACAAGGCACATGACATCCCCCAAGTTCTGCAGATGCTGCCGTGAGGAGCCCCAGGTGATCCCTTCCTTCCCGGGGCAGGAGGATGCTCCAGGTTATCGCCGAAGCCACCTGGCCCCAGGTGCCATCTCCATCCTTCCCCGCACCCCGGGACGTGCAGCAGCACCGTCCCCGCTCCACGCTGGCCTTTCTTGCCTGACCCCCCCAGCGGGGTGACGCCGAGCCCTGACCCACCACGGTGGCCCATGGGGGTGCCTTACCTGCGTCGCAGCGTGAGGAGAGGGTGAGGAGCATCACGAGCACCAGGACTGTCCTTGCACTGAGCATGGTGACGGTGCGAGGGCTCTTCCTCACAGGGTGCCGCTCTGCCTCTTTGGAGGAGCTCAACTGCGATCTCGGGTGAGGAGGTGCTCGATTTATCCTCTCCATCCCCTCCCCACATGAGCCCTTTTCTGAAGAATTTCGACCAAATTCAAGCGAAAGCCCTGCATGTTTCCTTCAGCCGCGGGGATTTCCATGTCACGTGGGAGGGTTACTGACCCAGAGGATACCTAGAATGACTGAACAGCCTCCAGCAACTTCTGCGTTCATTGAAATGGGTCCGTGGGAAAGCCGCGGAGTCCACAAGGGAAGTGAAATCCTCCTCCGCAGGGGCGAAAACCCGAGGGCTCCCAAAGCCATGGAGAGGGGGATTGGCGCAAAGTGACTTTTCAGCCCCAGAGCCAACACAAACACGCTGGAGACGGTGGGATGGCTTGTGAACTCACCGGGGAGCGTTAAGCAGGAACGCGGTGACCGCTGCTGCCACCAGCCCTCTGCGGCTCGAAAGCTGCAAGATGTCAAACGCTGCCAGAAACCGCATCGCATTCCAGTCTGCCCTTCCGGAGAGGAACACAAGTTTTCCATCAAAAATCCCTGTCCATAGCTGGGAAGCGTGGGGTGAAAAGAGACGGGGGTGCAGCCGAGTTGCCCCTTGGCTTCAGGGCAGGGCAGGAGGCTGAACTGGGCTGAGGGAAGTGGAAGGAAAAGTTGGTGTTCCAAGTTCTTGGGGTGTTTTTTCCAACATCTGCCTCCCTTCGCAGACTTGAACCCTCCTGGATCCCGCAGGGACCTGCAGGAAGGGGCTCCGGCCTCCCTGTCAACCTGGGGACAGCTTCTCCCTACTGTGCTCAACTCTTCGTTCCTCACCCGGCCACTCGGACCACCGGACCCTTCCGCAGGTCCTTGCCAGTCATGCACAGCCCCTGCTCTGAAGCTTATTTCCCCATTCCCTCTTTTTTTCCAGGCTGTAAGCAGATGCATGGAGCAGTAGGGTCCCATCCAGATCCCTGGGGCACCATGGTCCCCCCTCATCCACTGTGAGCTGCCCAAGGGGCCACCCTTCACCTTGGAACCCCCCAGCCATCCCCTGCCCCTTTGGAGCAGGACATTATGCCTGGGACTGTGTTATCCCTGGGTGCCTTTTAAAAAAACTTGGGGGAAGACCACTCGATGCTGAGAATTGCTCTGGCCATGCCCAGGTCTCCTCAACCCCAGCTGAAGTAGAAGACACATCTCCTGCTGCTGAAGGCTCAAGGAGCCCGGGTGGGGTATGCCAAGGCTCTTCACAACCGACTAGAAATGATTGTCCTGGTTTTGGCTGGGGTAGAGGTAATTTTCTTCCTAATAGCTGGTGTAATGCTGCGTTTTGGATTTAGGGTGAGAATAACGTTGAGAGCACTGATGGTTTTAGTTGTTGCCAAGTAGTTGTAGTGCTTGTACTCCAGGCAAGGACTTCTCCAGCTTCCTCTGCTCTGCCAGCGAGGAGGTGCACAAGGAGCCGGGAAGGGGCACGGGACGGCTGACCCAGCCTGGCCAAAGAGATATTCCCTACCGTACAACGTCATGCTCAGTATATAAATATATATATCTCTCTCTCTCTCTCTCTGGAGTTGGCCGGGGAGTGGGAATCACCGCTCGGGGATGGGCTGTCGTTGCTCACCGCGTGGTGAGCAATCGTTGCGTTGTGCATCACTTGGTTTTGTGTATTTCGTTATTATTATTGGTGGTGGTATTATTGTTTGTTGTTGATATTTCCTCTTGCTTTGCTGTCCTATTAAACTGTTTTTATCTCAACCCAGCAGGGCTTTTTTCCGATTCTCTCCCCCATCCCACTTGGGTGCAGGCGCGGTGCTTGGCTGCCGGCTGGGGCTAAGCCACGACAGGTTAAAATACGTTCCGAGACCCTTGTAGCTGCTGCGCTTTGGCCCAGCTCCTGTGGAGGGACGGAGTCCCTGTGCCTCAAAAGCATGACTTGGCCCGGGAGGAGCTGGCAGACTGGGCCCAGGAGGGGCGGGCATGAGGCTACCAGTGATGTGTAGCCGCCAGAAGACTGAAAATAAAGCATTTCTAAACAGGTCCCACAACCCCTAAGGGCAGCGCCGCTCCTTCCTGGTGCGTTCAGCCCAGCGACGCAGCGTCTCCCCGGGCTGTAACGAACTCCTCGTGCCCTCCTGCTGATCCCCAAAAGCACCTTTCCTTTCTCCCGCAGCTTTGCGGGTGCTCCCTTCCCTTCCTGGCCACCTCCCCAACCTCTGCTCTGCCCCAGGCTTCCTTCTCGCAGACTGGCGTGCCTCTCCCCAAACCTGCCCCGTGGTTGCTGGGACCGGAGTAGCCTCCCATCGCATGGGCACCGTCCCAGCGGGCAACCTTCTGGGAGCTGTGGCGGGACTGGCAACGCCGAGCTGGGGACAGGGGCCATATTGCCGCTCCCGACGCGTGTTGTCCTGCCTGTGGTGTGCACAGGAGCAGGGCCACCAAGTGCTGGTTGGCACGATGCTGTCCCACCCGTGGCAGGTGCCCTCAAGCTGGGGGGACGCAGGCAGCTCCCCGGCGGCCGCGGACCAAGGGACCACGCAGCCTGCCCTGACCACGCCTGGGGCGAAGCCACCGTCCAAGGGCTGGACCTTGACCCGCACAGAAGGATTTGGGGGATGGACGGGCATGGTCTTGCTGCAAGCCCGTGGCATGTCTCCCCGTGGCCTGGGGCTTCACCTGCCCACCCCTCAGCTCTGGGGGATGCTTTGGGTGGGCGGGCAGGGCAGCACACGGTGCTGGGGGCTCCCAGCAGCCCGGCGCAGGGAAGAGGGAAGAGACTGCGCTGGATAGAGAAGTCCCGGAGGAGTAAAACACGAGTGGGGCCCCACTTCTGCGGAGTTGTGCTTGCTTATCTGGCAGAAGATCTGCCCTGGGGTGCTCTGCTTCCCCTTTCCAGCCCATCGCCATCGCAGCCGGACAATTCATGACTCCCTGGAGGCCCTTTGACATTTATTCTTTTACTTTTGGGGGAGGGAAAGGCTGATGTGCTTCATGAACCGGTGAGTGCTGGAAAGCCCCACTGCCGGCCCGCGTTCCCTTTTCATTTGAGTGGGCTCCGGAGGATTTGCTCGTTTTGCAGGAAGAATAAACAGCATCCCCCTGATTCTGCAGGAGGACTAGGAGGGAAGCTCGGGGGACCCTCAGGTGCAGCCTTTGCCAGCAATGGTTGCCGGCATGGGCAAGGGGAGGCAGCTGCTGGGCAGAGCAAGCCCCTCGGTTGGAATGGGGATCTCAGCAGATGACCGAGCACACCCAGCTGTGCTGGAAAACACAGCCAGGACATCACCCAGAGCCTCAAACCTGTCCCCAAGGAGGCGGTGGGAGGGTTAGGAATAAGTTTTCCCTATTATCTTCTGTTCTTGCAGTCGCTTCGAGTCTTCTCCATTTACAACATGAAACGTTCTCATTTTTCTTCTGTTAAAACCTCAGCTTTCTGAGTGTAAAGCTCCCCCCACCCCACGTTTCCTTGGGGTGCTCACTCGAGGGTCTCCCCAGCTCTGTTTTGAAGCTCTGGTTGGCTCAGGGTACGAACACAAACCAAAGGCGATGGCTCCTGTTCCGTCCCGGAGTCACTGCTCACCCTGCGACTCCAGCTACGGGCCATGCCAGGTCCTGCAGCCTGGAAAGACACTTTAAAAAGAGGCAAACAAGAGTCTCTTCCAAAGCCTGCTTCCTACAGCTGGACACTGGGGACCACCAAGTCCTGCCCGGAGTCAGGAGACACGGAGGCTACGGGAAGGATGCGTCCAGGAGCCCTTGCCCAGAGGATTATCCACACCAAGTCACGGGGTCAGCTGGGCTCAGGGCAGAAACTCTTAGAGCAGAGTTAGAGCTTAGAGCTCTTAGACCTCAGGGCAGAAACTTCTTAGAGCAGAAACTCACCACGGCTGGGCAGGCAACCCTCACCACGATGGCCAAGCAGAGGCAAGGGTGGATGCGCCTGGACCAGAAACTGGAAGCAGCCTCTTCGCTAAGGAAAAGAAAAAAAAAAAAAAAAAAAGTATGTGATGCCAGTTTTCCCAAACGCACTCCAAAGGAGACTTTTTTCCGTTTTTCTCCAGCGAGGTTGATCAACTGCCTCAAGGTTAAGTGAAGGATGGATCTGGGGCGTCAAGGGAGACTCTGCACTGGCGAGGTTTCCGTGTCAGGTAGCAGTCAGGGGGAATGATGCTCAGTGAGGGCTTCAGCCTCCTTTTTTCAACCCTGACCCTCTTTGAGCTCCTAGAATTAAAGGCAGAAGTGGAGAGCTGCTTCAGCTCAGCTTTTAAAGCAAAGTTGTGGTAGCAGAAAAAGAACAGGACATGGAAGCAACTTCAGCCTAATTTTTAGCGATTTAATTCTGAACGGAATTAGTCCAGGTAACTCCAAGGAGGCTCTAGAACAAGTTATGAATCTACTTGCTCCTTAGTTTTTGATTAGGATAAAACCCAGCAATCAAAAAATATAAATTCAGTTGAAAGAACGTGATGAGAAAGATACGTTAAGGTGCATAGATGTTGTAATAAAAAAAGTATATTTGTGCTATTTTTGCCAACTCAGACCATTTGGCTGCGGTCAAAGAGACCGTTTGGCTATGGTCTGAGTTGGCAAGCTGACATCACGTCCCTCCTTGGAGGGCTCCTCTCACTTCTTTCTATTTTTATTTTGGTTTCTTAATTATTTGCTTTGTGGCCTTGTAGCTCACCTGGCAGAATTCAAGGGTGCTTCAGAAATGAAGCTTCCTCCATCAGCTGAGACGGTCACTGAAGAGGTATGACACTAGGGAGTCACAGAATCACTAAGGGTGGAGAAGACCTCTAAGATCATCAAGTCCAACCGTCAACCCAACACCACCATGCCCACTAAACCATGTCCCCAAGTGCCACGTCTACACGTTTTTTGAACACTTCCATTGATGGTGACTCCACCACCTCCCTGGGCAGCCTGTGCCAACGCTTGACCACTCTCTCCGTAAAGAAATTGTTCCTAAT